AAAAAAAAAATCATACAATACATTAAAATTTCCAACCAAAACCCCACAAATCAAAAACAATCACCAACACCAAATAAATTAAATCTGACGAGCAACCATTATTGCACTGTTGGCCGCGTGGCCACGCGCGGACAAGTTATGACAGGAGGACTCGCCGCCGGTGTCATGTTTCACCGTCTGCGGCCATTCAGTGTCGGTCCATGGCCGCGCTCGGACACACTGTCTACTTCAGTCGACAAGCTGGCGACAACGTCGGACTGTGTTGACGAAGCTGGCGACAACGTCGGACTGTGTTGACGACAGTCTGGCGGCGACAACGGTCTAGTGATTTTGTATCTGGATGTAGTAGCGGGCAGTGGAACCGCTGGGAATGGTGGCGGGGATGATGGAGGTTGGTATTTGCGATGGTCGTGGTTGCGCCTAAGTTCATGTCGGCGGCAACATGATGCGGTTGCTCTCACCGTGAGTCCCAGCGCGTCGGCGTATATGGTGAGTAAGTGGATGTGTGTGTGTGTGCAAGAGAGCGAGGGGAAAGAGAATGAGTAGGGATAGAGATGGTGGGTGGGGCCCACTGTTTAAATTGTCATTAAAATAATTTATAGTTATGCCCTCTTTCACATAAAATTTACTCTGAATTGTTGCCATTCTTCGGACATGTCGGACGGTGTATAATCATTTTCATTTCTTTCATTAACTTTTATTTTTATTTAATCTCATTCCTATATATATAGACATACATGTCCAATTTTATAACATGTGTTGTTTAAAAGTTTGAGAGTGATACGGATCCTAAGTTTAAAAAAACTTGGTATACATATTAATATTTGTATTTATAAATAAACACATTTTCATATGAAATGAGTGTTTCGACTTAAACTACAAGCACATTATTTAATATTTGAGATCGGGTTCCTGAGTAAAATTTCTTAGTCCGTCACTACATACATACACACATACATACACACACACAAATATACACATACATACATGTCCAGTTATATAACATATATTGTTCACACACATATCCACGCAAATTCTGTATATGACACTTGTTTTGCAAAACTCCAATCCTGAAACCTCTGAACCACCACAGGTTTCACTATGAATCATAAAAACAGACTCCTCCACTCCATCATCATTTCTTGTTCCTCAGCTACTTAACTTGTTGGACTTTCTTACGGATATGGGTTCGAAACGGCCTGATATACATAACTGTGTGAGCTCCCTTCCCCAAAGTCATTTGGGGCATCCATTTCAACGAGTTGGCTCAAAACGACCTTAATCGCTCTGTCGTCACATGATGGAAAAGGATAATCATTCATAAACAATGGATTAATGTCATAAGTTCCATCGGGGCTCGGCAAACCTTCCGGTGGGCCCATGTGGGAGTAAGTAGGATTTGTACTGTAAATGGAGAAGCAGGGCACGTGTTTGTTTACAGCATCACTGCTCTGGTTCAGTGCAGTACTGTTGTTATTATAAGGTTCCATTAATGGTGGTAGAGATGGAGAGGAAGCTTTGGTTTCAACTTGGATTTTGCTTGGATTTTCTGACGCTTTCTTCAAAAATACTCTGCATAAAACCCAGTCCTCCTGCACATAACAGCAAATTTTCATATTAAAAAAAACGTTTGTTATTCATCTATGTAATGCAGTCTCTTAATTATATGATGTATGGACTAATAAAAATATGACTTGAATCACTCAAACTTAGCCTACAATGATAGGATTAGGACTGCAAACGAGTCGAGCCGAGCCGAGTCGAACATTGACCTTATCCAGTAGGATTGAATTTTTTTTAGCTAGCTCGAGCTCGGCTCGAAAATTTTTAAGTGGAAAAGTAAAATTACCATTAAGCATTTGTATTAATATTATACTATTTAAATATATATGTGGGATATTTTAGTAATTTAACATATATATCGAGCCGCTCGACAATGCAAAATATGGCCTCGAGTTTGACCAAAATATGTGGAAATGTGTACAATGTCCATTTTGTATTAGACTTGACGGGGTGAGCAACGGTGCGGTTCGGTGAAAAACCGCACCCGCAAAAAACCAAAAACCGAACATAGCAAAAAAAATAATCGAAACTCACCGCAACTTAGAAAAATTCGGACCGAAACCAATAGGACCGAATTTTTTTTGAATAACCTAACCTAACCGAACCGCACCGAAATGCATGGTTTGGTTCGGTTCGGTTTTCGGTTTTTTCTCGGTTTCTATACCTTTTATTTAATTTGGTGCGGTTCGGTGCAAAACCGCACCGAATCGAACAAAATCAAAAAGCAAACTTATGGGAAACGATAACAACACCGGACTGCAGTATAAAAAAAACCGAACCGAATTTTTTTTTTTTTACATAAAAAACCGAACCGAACCGAAT